TTTTAAAGTCTTTTGCTCTTCTGTTCTCCCTCTTCCACATCTCATGTTGGAGCGTTTCCAGGACTTAATCCTTGAACTTGATCTTTTCTCCCTCCATGTTTATTCTCTAAATGACATCATATAGTCTCTGGCTTTCAAGTTTCTGCATTCAGTTGTCTATTCACTATTCCACTTGAACATCTAGTAGGCATTTCAACCTTAATATATTCAAAGGAGGGTGAATTTCTTTACATCTCCACCCCTTTACAATGAACAATGAACCACAACTACCAACAAACCTGTAGCTTCTACTTCTCTGGCAGTTTTCCTGTCTCAGGGAGTAGCAGTTTTGCCCTTTCAGTTTCTCAGGCCAAGACCCTGGGGCTGTTTTTTTTCATTCCCTCCTTTCTTCACATCTAGTTTATCAAGCAAATTGTGACAACTCTTTCTTATAGGCAGGAGATATGCCCAGTAATGAAATACAGAGTAGCACACAGTTTTGGATGATGCTGGATTTAAAAGCTCCTATTGTATTAGTTCTTCCATCAAGAAACATTTAGTATCTTTCTGGGCAATAGGTTAAAATATTTGTTTTTTTAATAAAGAAGAAAGAGTACATGAAGTTATCAGAAAGAAGTGATCGGGAGATATGGGAGGAGTTGGAGGGGAGGGAGTGGGCATGGATTTGATCAAAACTTAACCTTATATGCTTATATCCCTGCATGAAATTCTCAATAAATGATTTTTTTAAACAAAGAAAAAAAATTCAATAAGAAAATAGAAAAAAGTTGTATTTTATTAGAAAAAAGGAACAGTAGATAGGATATCATTCTGTAGCTTAGGCTGGCCTGAAACTCATGATCCTCCTGCCTCCACCTCTTGTGTACTGGGATTGCAGGTGTGCACCAACATGCTTGACAAATTTGTTTTAAAATTTCTAAAATTAATTAATAAGAAATTTAAAAATATTATTTATTTATTTATTTATTTATTTATTTTTATTTTATGTGTATGAGTGTTTTGCCTGCATGTATTTAAGTAAGTGCATCATA